ATTTATACGTATTGGAAGTGGGAACCCTAAACTAGAAAAGTCAGAAGTACGATCAGATTTGGAGAAGAGAATTTCAACCAGACATATCACTGCTTCAGTACCTGTATATCTCTCCTGCAAACCCAAGATATAAAACGAATCCAAATCAGAGTCCAAGAAGCAACCTGATTTCAAGTCATCCATTCGCGCAGACAAGTTCCACCTTTGCTGTCCCCTGACTTCCCACAAACAGCACTTGGAGATCGCAATTGTGCATATCATTTTCCAATTGCCGCCATGAAGTTCGCCCTCGTCCTCGCCACCATCGCCGCCGCCGTCCTGGCCCAAGACGCCTCCCCCGACAACAACTTTATCGAGATCGTCGGAGGCACGGAGGCCGCTGTGGGCCAGCACCGGTACTTGGCGGGCCTCAAGGCGTCTGCCACCGGCACGTCTAGCTGCGGGGGCAGTCTGATCGCGCCCAACGTGATTCTCACGGCGGCGCATTGCACGGGCCACAAGCTGTCGTACGTAGTGGTGGGCTCGCACTATTTGTCGGGATCGTCCGACGGCGTGCCCACCAAGGTGGTCAAGGAGATCAAGCACCCCCTCAACAACCCCAAGACCTACGCCAACGACGTGGCCATCCTCGTCCTGGACCGCAACATCACGACCATCGCCCCCGTCCGGGTGTCGTTCGAGACGGTTCCGGCTAACGTCCTGACGTGGGTGCGCGGGTGGGGCACCACGTCGTCCGGGGGCGCGCAATCCAGCGTGCTCAAAGAGGTCAGCGTCAAGTCCTGGGACAACGCCAAGGCCTCGATCGCCCTCGCGCCCAACAAGGTGGACGCCACCATGCTGGCTGCCGGGGGACTCAAGGGTGAAGACTCGTGCCAGGGCGACTCGGGGGGACCGCTGACCATCGAAGACGCCGCGGGCGAGCGCCTCGTGGGCGTCGTGAGCTGGGGCATTGGCTGCGCGGTGCTCAACAAGCCTGGCGTGTACGGTCGCCTGAGCACCGCCCAAGCGTTCATCCAGCCCTACTTGCCCAAAACCTAGAACCTCCGCGTACCGTACTTGGTGGATGAACACGCCAACTAGACGGATATTGCGTGTAGTGTATATAATACCGTGATGTGTTTGAATGTATATGTCGCAAACGCTGGTGCGGTTGGATTTGAATTGTGTAAACTGGTGCTCAAAGGGGCTGTAGGTCTGTGCAACCTGTAGTTTGAGTAAGAATACTTTGTTCTGAGTTCCTCGCTGGAGGTAGATCAATCTGCTATCTGCGTAACGGGCTTTTGTGCCTTTTAGAGGGGCTAGTAGTATCTCACCCCTCGTATTTGTTTGCAAGGATTAGAATTAATACGAAGTATTAATACTTGTTTAACAAAGGAAGGATATTGACCTACTACAGTACACTGTACGTAGTATTAGTAGCTATTATTAATAACTGGTACTGTTAATAGTATTAATAGTATTATACCAATTGTTACTAGTATTATCCCATCCGACCAGTACTGTAGTCATAAAATTCAATTTGCGAATTTCATTTTTTCGATATGGTGGGTGATACTAATAGTACTACTAACTGTAAACCAGAATTGCCAACCACAATTACCCACCATACACTTCTCACTTGCCGTGGTGCCATATTGTAGTTCACGGCTATTATACCTGTGAAAATAAGTACTAATTTGTACAAGTATTTTCACTGACGGCTTCGCCACCACCGTTGAATCATTACATCGTCAGTGGAGCATGTCGTCTGGGTTCGGGTTCAAGGGCACGGCCAACCGATGCTACGCCTTCTGGAAGGACGTGGAGCGTTGCAACGTACAGTCTCATGCACATGGAGCTGTTGTCCTATATCGTGTCTTATGAAGCATCTAGGTCGAAGCGGCACAGCCTGGACAATGCTCGGCGGCCGTCGAGGATTACCTTGAGTGCTTGCACCACAAGAAGGAGGTATTGACATGTCGTTGGATGTGGAGTGTTCATGGTTCTCTAGTTGGCCCGCATGAATGCTATCATCGTGCACAAGGAACAAGAAAGCCAGGGGAAGGCGCACGGCGGAGGAGGACATTAATGTTAGGTTGCTCCATGTTATGCGCAATATAATGAATCCCTGCTGTGGATATACTAGTGATCTGTTCCCTTTCCATCGTCACATAGCATTAGTCTTCTACGGGTCACACACACACATACGAGATAGTTAACGTTCCTTTGTTGTTGCTTATCCCAGCAGGAGTTCCAGCGCAATTGCGACAACGTTGATCGGGATCAATAAGACTACATCATCGTCGAGGTGAGATGTTGAGGACATAAACTCGTCACATGTTCACGTACCTCTTGTGTATTGGACGGCCGTGAGGAGTCCTGCGAGTTGGTTCTTCACGGTCGGCGGTCCGTCCGAGTTGTCGACTTGATGCAATCCAACTACAGCGACGATCGTAAGCCAGGAAGGAAGGAGAGAAGGATGGAGGAGGAAGGGGATGCATCATGTACTTCGTCGAAGGAAGCGCTTCTCGTTCAGGATCGCAAACGCGTTGGTGGTGAGCAAGCTCGTCATGATGAACGTCCATATGAACCCCATGTTGTTGTTCTGTCGTCGGTTGCGCTCAATTGAAAATGTCGGCCCAAGTATAGTGAAAGTAAGTGATAATATTAATACCATTGATTTAAAATACGACGTGGGCTTCGCAATTCCGACATCACCGCAATTCCGACATCACCGCAACAGCAGCATCTCGGGCAGGTCGTGCTGTCTTCGCAGCAGTGCCAGGTATATGAGCTTCAGCGAGCTTTAGTTGGTTGATATGTAGCCAGATTGCGATATGCCTTGTAAATGTCCCAGTCACCACAGCGTCGACATGATCCACGAGCACGCACAGCGAGTGGCCTCGGCAGATTCACCCTCGAGCAATTAAGAACTTGGAAATGGCTCTAATCATAACGTTAGTGGTGTGGGCCTTAGTAGGGTACATTGGGATGGGGTTAATTACCGGTATGAGCGCTAAAGGCGCTGTGCTGGGCTTCGTACTCGGTAAGATGCAGTCGTGGAGTGTCGCGGTGAGCGCCGTGACACTACAGTACTCCGGAGAATTTCAGCTGAGAAAGGCTGAAACGGCCATCATAAATCCAGCCAATCATTCGCGTGAACTGGATACATTTCAACCAATCAGAGAAATGTTCAATCCAATAGCCAATCACACGATTTGTGCTCCCTGATGTCAAGTTCAGTTTTTCATTGCGATCCTACCCACCACATCGAACGCACGCATGAGTACGCCTACCGACACCAACCACGCTACGGACACCAACCACGCCCCACCGGCAGGCTTTGAGACATGGACCCCCGCTTCGGAGGGCGACAGTGTGTCGCCATGTCCGTTTCTCAACACCATGGCCAACTACGGCATCCTTCCCCGCACAGGCATCACGCAGCCCAAGCTCAAATCGGTGCTGGAACTTGCCAAGGTGGACTGGACCTTCCGCACGTCCTTGGCGGGCGCCAATACGATGAAGTTGGGAACTGTGGAAGATGGCAAGCAGGTCATTTCCCTCGCGAACCTCTGCCGTCACAACGCGATCGAGCATGACGCGTCGCTCAGCCGTCGAGACGCACATACTGGCGACCAAACGACCCTCGCTCCCGAGTTGATCGACCAGCTTGTGGCATTGTCCAAGGACGGCAAGTACCTGTCCGAGGCTGACCTCGTGCAGTTCCGCCACCTCCGCGAAGCCGACAGCCGCGCCACCAACCCCGACATGGTGTTCGGGCAGTACGAGAAGCTCCTCGCGTATACCGAAGCCGCGTTTGTGACGATTCTGTTTCGAGACGAATCGGGACAAATCCGAGTGGATTGGCTCAAAGAGTTCTTTTTGAAGGAAAAGTTCCCGTTTGAACTCGGGTGGGATCTTCGTCCCATCCGGTTTCTCGAAGCGTCGTGGATAGCCGGGCGCTTCCGACTCGGATATGCGGCGGCAGTAGCGCCGCCCCCCGCGACGGACGCGCCGGCGAAGGAAGAAGCACCAGGCCATGCCTAACCACAGAATCCTTGCCTTTTTATCGCTTTAAAAATCATCGTGGCTTTGTGGCCCATGGGGTCATCTATAAATACAAAGTCTCAATTTATAGATAATACTACGAAGTAAATCAAGTTCAATCGACAGTATTAATTAATAATACTACGTACTAGTAGTGCTTAAGTACTAGTATTCATTATATTTATGATCCCGGGCCTTCTAAATATATTTTGAAATATTTTATTGCTCTCTGGCATTAACATATAAAAGATATAATCCAAATTTGTACTATTAATACTTCGATGTATGCTAATATAAAGATATAATCCAATGTTGTACTTCGATGTCCTAATAATATTCTTTTTTAAATATTTTTGCCCATTTGGAGATAATTCTTGCCACATACAGTAAACACGAGCGATAAACAGCGGATATGAAATTGTTGTAGTAGTAGCTCAGAGTCTAACGTAGCTTTTAACACGTGAATATTCTCAATACAGCGACGGGGCAAAGTAACGTTGATACATTCTACAATTGATATTTCCCAACTTGTGTAAGCAATTGCCAACTAACGTTACTGGCAAGGCTTCGACTTGAGAAAGTTGTCCACCGCGGCTTCAATGAGATTATGAGCCCAGACCACGTGGCTGCTGTCGCCACTGCGTCGGGCGTACAAGTCGCGGCAGTGCGCCGCATCTTGAATGTCCACCACAGTCGAGGACGTGGAGTTAGTTCTCTTGGTCGTGGCGTTGGTGACCACGACAGGCGACCACGGATCCATGGATCCACTTGAAAAGACCACGTTCTGGGCTGCGTTAAGCACGCCGACGCCGCCATACTTGGCGTTGGTCATGTCGACTCGCTTGGGCACATTTGAGATGTTGTACGCTTCTTTGCACATGCGACCAAACGTGCGGTCCACCGTGATAAACTCGAGGGGGCTGAAGGCACTAGTACTACTAGTACTACTACTAGTACTCGTGGTCATGGGGGACTTGTGCTTGGTCGTAGTTGACTGGCCAAACCCAAATTCTGCACAGAGCTGGTACCCCCACTGCCGAAACATATTGGACGTGGACACATTCACATCATGAAACGGTGCAAACCGGGTATGGTACCTCGCATCGACGCACTTGGCTTTGGCCACAGTGCGGTTGAACAGCGTTGCGACGAGTTGTACAGGAACGGCCCCGTCGTTGCTCCGAAACGCCGCGCACATGCCCGCCAGCGTCAACCCGGCCACCCCACCACCCACGTCGTCGTTGTTGGCTTGCGCCGTCGACGCAAACATGTCGTACACTAGACTCTCCATGACACTACGGTCGTCGTCAGTGGTGATGGCATGGCACGGGTTGAAGAGGTCGCGGAACCGAGCTGAATCGCGCTCATCTTGGCTAGACAGTAGCCGGTGGACTTCGGCCATGGCTGATCGAACCACTGTCACGCACGTGTCGTTGCCATACCGGCGCAACCCGTCGGACACGGCTTGGCTGTATGCGACGAGGTTGTATGTGGCGTGGACGGGGGCTGAACTCGCGACGACACCGGCAAACGCCGTCGGGTGCTGGAGTTGGGTCCACGCGGCGAGCATGCCGGGGTAGCTGCCTCCGAAGGCGACCCAGTTTGTCCTTGTCACGTTGAGTTTGGCGTTGAAAAACGCTTGAAATCGAACGATGTCCCCGATCGCTTGCTCGGACGTGAGAAACTCGAGGCTGTCGGTGGTCAAGTCGTCACTCGGCACGGACTTGCCATAGTATCGGTGCTCTAACGTGACCAAAATAGCTCGAAATGTCCGGGCGAGCTCGACGTGGAACATCCCGGACGACGTCACCGCGGAGCTGGACGCAGGGCTTTCGCCGCTGATGTAAAAGAAGACGGGGTAGCCCGGACCTCCATAGTATTGGGAGTTGGAGAAGTACCGCTGGCTCCACACCACGTCCGTGTGCTTGGTACCTTTGTGATCCAGCAACTGGTCATGGAACCAGTCTTCTACGACGGTGGCGGTCGTGTTCGAAGCCTTCGAAGCTCCCAAGGGATGGCTGCTGCTTCGTTCAAGGTACATTAAAGACGATTGTTGGCGGGGCGGTTCAAACTCCCACGCGTGGTCGAGGATGACGTAGCGTTGAAGGGGAAAACCAGCGGCGACGCCCAAGAGGACTACGCACAGAGAGATTGACAAGATCATGCTCGTGGGTGATCGATCCCTGGAAATGGAAAATGGAGAGAAATGCTTTAACCGAACAGAAGATATATTCGTCTTCGGAGAGGCGGTGTCACAGAGGTGGTCAATGTTGCAACATCACTGGTGCAACGCTTGAAGATGATTCCTAAGCTATGACAAATATATCAGTGTTCACATTGACGTTATGTTTGGGAATTGAGGCAGATTGAAAAGGGCAATGTCGACCGACAGGTTGGGCAAAATATATATTACACAAGAGCGGGATGAATCCGACGAGGTCCCCAGCTATTCTTGGATTCGTATGGTTTGGAAGTGACCATTGCAGTACTACTATATGAAAACTACTACAGTAGGGCGTACTATTGTTTGTACATATGGGCTACGATGTGCCATTATAAACGTTATATACTTTGAAGTATTAATATATACTAGAATCGAAAAATCCCGAAACCCCGAAATCATTACCTAGGGTGAGTCAGTTTACAGTTTGGGATTGCAGTGTTCGATTACTACTCACATTGGTACTGTGTACAGTATCATTGTGATCGTGCAACAGTTAGCTTACGTATTAGTCCGACATTGAAGTGCTGCAGCGCCAAATTCAACGCGGTCGACAGCAACCAAATATATTGGCATTGCCATATATATATGTATGTAATTCCACCAAGATGAAGTTGACATCGCCCTTGCTCCTCACCATTGGTCGGGGTGCTCCAAATACCACCATCACCAACTGCACGACCCCCGACGACATTCCGTGGCCATATTCCGCCGGCGTCTTGATGCAACATGCACCTCTTGACTTCGGAATCGCCCCAAGGCACTATGGGCACCTACGACGACTTTGTGTCGTTGTCAGAAACGTCCGTGACCATAACAGGTCTGTACGAAAGGCCGGTGACATCGTTGCTGTGGGCCGTCTCCCCGTTCTTTGAATCCAACACGTAAGTACGGTGGTTCCCCGCTCGCCTTGGTGCGTTCGTACTCGTCCACCACGAACGGACGACCGAATGGATTGCTGGACGAATGTGCCAGTGGTCAACCAGATCTCGAGCGACAATCGCACGTCATGTTGGTGCTATCTTTTCCATGGTAAGTATGGGCCGTCGTAACTACCGTAGTTATTTGCAACCTGTCGAATCGTAGCTAATGAATGTCCAATTGATTTGTTTGATTGTGAACTCATCAATCGTTTTGTGTTGCTCAAGAAAAGCACATACTATTAATAGTACTGCTACGTAGTACTAGTACATACTACTACAACGTTACTTTCTACTAGTACTACTGTAGTACTATTAATAGTACTGTATATCGAAGAATACTGAAACATATCAGAAGTTTTTTGGAAAAAATCCTGCCAGGATACACGCTGCTTCCGGATACGGTTTGCATTATCCGACAGTACTAATATTATCCGGATATGAGGCCACTTATCCGGTCAAACATTACAGAGTACTACAGTAGTAATATTTAGAGCATCTCCAATGGTGTTTATTTCAATTCGAAGTTACGGATATACTACGTACTAGTAGTAGAATAGCAACGCTGCCACTATCCGGAGGGTTTGTTGCTACGGGTACTATATTTCACCCGAAAATAGAAATTCTGCGGGACGTAGTTTCTAAAAAGTCCGGATAGTGCCAAAATAGCAACCGTAAAAACGAAGTTTGACTTTAACCTATGCTTTATTGTGATTTATAGCAATAGTAGGTTAGAATTTACCGTTGGAGATGCTCTTACACTTTTATAGTGCGATTTCACCCAAAATTTGTTGTTTACTCCTAGAGCATCTCCAAAGGTGTTTTTATTTCTATAATACGATGACCAACTCATAGTTTGTTTTGTCAATTTTTGCGAATTTCCGTGATTGGCTTCTATTACTGGTACTCGATTCATCTTGCGCTAACTTGTATAAGCTACTCGAGTATCGATTTATAGCGTAATTTTTCATTTGAAGATTTGTATGGAACGGTTTTGGATCTCATATTTTTTACAGGCTTTAGCTGCCACACTCTATATATTGTACAGTGGGTCGCAAAAGTCATCATACCCCAACATGAAAATGTTGATATCACATGATAATTCTTGGAATATTTCATGGTTGGCCAAAGTAATCAGTACTACATGTAGCTATGGATTAGGGCTCATATATCGACGTTGATTGGACACTATATAGATCCGGATGACAATGAAAACCGCATCAGTAAACAGGTGGTCCGAAATTTTGAATGCAAAAGTCATCATACCCATGTACGAAAATATGTATTACTCACTCAATTCTACTCCGATCAGTTCATTTTCAAATGCTAAACACATCTCAATATTGTACGGCACGACTACTACACTTTGAGCACCGCACATGACTTCCTCTGTCGACCAGAACGCTGCAGTGCCTCGTCGTAAGGAACACTCCCACGAAATTCGGACGCTTGTAGTTTCCAACCACTTAAACGGCATGGGATACTGCAAAATCGCATCCACTCTCAACCTTTCGAAAGCCACCGTGCAGAGCATTGTCAAAGCGTTCAAGAAGACCAAGGAAACGGTCCCTCAACCGCGATCTGGGCGCCCCAAGGTGACAACCGAGCACGAGGACCGGATTATCCTCCGAGCTATCAAGGCCAACAGACGTCTCAGCGCCGAATCGTTGAAGGAAACGTTCGAAGTGTTTCATGAGAAGGACATTTCATCTGACACGATTCGCCGACGCATCAATGCTGCCGGAATGAATGGACGTGCAGCACGACGCAAGCCGTTCATCTCCAAGGTGAACAAGTTGAAGCGGCTTTCGTATGCCCAAAAACACCGATTTCGGCTCCAAGCCGACTGGGAAAAGGTGCTTAGGACAGACGAAAGCCCCTTCAACTTGTCTGGGTCGAATGGCCGCATCTATGTGTGGCGGCGAGCTGGTGAAGAATACAACGACAACTGCCTTGCACCTACGTTCAAGAGTGGTCGTCAGTCGTTCATGGTGTGGGGGGCCATCGGCTACAACGGGACCGGCACGCTTGTGTTCTGCGAAGGAAAGATGAAGTCCACCGACTACTTGGCCATGGTGGAGAACAACCTGGTCGAAAACGTTGTGAAACTGGAGCTGCCAGTGGATTTCGAGTTTTTACAAGACAACGCTCCCATACACAAAACCAAGGTTGTGCATGAGTTTTTCGACGACAATGCGTTTATGTTGCTCGAACATCCCCCCCAAAGTCCTGATCTCAACCCCATCGAGCATGTGTGGGAGTACATGAAGCGTAGAGTCCGAATGTCGCCGCCATCATCGTTGGAGGAGTTGAAGCGCCGTCTTGTCGAGATTTGGGACAATATTCCAGTTGATTACATTCGCGGACTCATTGATTCCATGCCTAAACGGCTGAACATGGTAATTGCTAACAAAGGAGGGGCCACGAAGTATTAACGAATCAATACTACCGAAGTATTTTCACTTTTACTCCTGGGGTATGATCACTTTTGCTTTTCGTCAAAATATGTTCGGCATATTAGACAGTTTCCCAAATGCGAAATATCCCCTTGTTCAGGTTAATCTAATAGGTCCTTGAACAGGTAATGTAACGCATCTTTCGGTTTAATGTGAAGGGTCCAACAACCAGAGATATTCCAAAATTCCGGATAATTTGACTAGGGTATGATGACTTTTGCGACCCACTGTACTACATTTGTATATATTTCTCACGAATAAGCACACCAAAATCGTGAGCAGAATGAATGCACTGGACCCCTCTTGTTATGAAGCAATAATATTAATAGAAACTGCATTGCATTATTACCAATACTACTGTAGTTCATGTCACTATATATGGGTCACGTTGGTATTGTACCTGTAATTTCACGGTAGAATTGCTCAGCAATGAGGTTAACAACGCAGGATACCACAATTCCCGCCAAAATAGTGCAAATGTCAAAACTGGATGGAAATCATCATATTTTTTGTTGTTGAAGTATAATATATACGGCGTGCCGGCGACGTTTCGAGTTTAACAGCATGCGCTCTTCTTCTTGGCGCCTTTGGCCGCGGTGGTGGGCGCATTGTCGGCGTTGATCTCGATCTTGTTGCCTTGGGGCAGACTCGCGGCTTGCTCTTCCGCCTGCATGGTCTTGCGACTCATGAGGTTGTATATCTCCGTGAGGATGCGCTGGAAGGCCGTGTCCACACCCGTGGCGTCCAAAGCCGACGTCTCGAGGAAGGCCAAGTTGTGCTTCTCTGCAAACGACATGGCTTCTTCGGTTTGGACGGCGCGCAAGTGACGCAGATCGCTCTTGTTCCCGACCAACATGATCACCTACACACACATATATCGTTAGGTCCCATTCCTTGCCTCGACATCAACATGCACGTCATACGGTGTTGGCATCGGCGTGGTCCCGCAGTTCCTTCAACCATCGTTCGACATTCTCAAAGGTCGGGTGCTTGGTGATGTCGTACACGAGCAGCGCGCCGACGGCGCCGCGATAGTACGCGCTCGTGATTGCACGGTATCGCTCTTGTCCTGCGGTATCCCAAATCTGTGCTTTGATGGTCTTGCCCTCGGCCTGGATCGACTTGGTCGCAAACTCGACGCCGATCGTGGACTTGGACTCGAGCGAGAACTCGTTGCGCGTGAACCGCGAGAGGAGGTTCGACTTGCCGACGCCAGAGTCCCCGATGAGCACTACCTTGAACAGGTAGTCGTACTCGTCATCTGCCTTGCCCGTTGCCATGTTTGGTGCTGCTAGAGGTCGAAAATGAATTTCTCGATGTTGGCCCCCCAATTACGGCGGTTTTGCATTTTTTTCACGAGAACGCCATGGTATTATTTTCGATATTTTAATCTACCTTGATGAATGTATTGAAATTAAATAAAACTTCCTGGAAGCTCCATCGCGTTGCTGATTGGTCCGTGGTGGATTATCCTGGAATCACCGCCCAACGTGGTTGAACGAGCGATGTAGTTTCGCTCGGATTCTTGGCTGCTGCTAGCCACCTCGTTGATAGAACCTAGGACGAAAGCTATCATCATCGCAGTGTACATGATGGTTACATACATGCATGCATACCAACACAGTACCTGGTTAGGTTGGTGGTTTGAGGGGATAGAGTACAGTAGTACCTTCTACTGTGAGCCACTCTGGGTGAGTCCAAGGTGCTATAACTCTCGAAGACATGTAGCCAAGCAAGCTACGATTATGGACCGGAACGACCCACCTGTCATCTCTTGCAAGCACTCGTGCATGTGCGTAGTACTCTGCCGCCCATGGGTGCCAGTAGTGCGACAGCTCAAAGTGTGAAAATAACAAAACATCGCGTACGGATACATGGTATCCGGATAACCTGGACAACAAGATTCGCAAGTTCGAAAGATACATGTTTGAGCTCAAACCCGAGACGCTGGATGGCGAGACGTCGCCGTCGCTCTTGAGCAGCAACCTGTCCGTGTCCAAGGACATCGTGGTAAGGGATGCATGTGCTGCATATCTGACGCAGCATGATCGTGATGGCCTTGGCATGCTCGTGCTGTCTCCATGAAGGTGTTTGCCCACTTGGAAGACGTGGTGGTGATTAACCCGAAGGCGTCCAAACCTTGCAATAAGATCACGTTGGTGGAAAAGTCGGTGGTGTATCAAGTCCTCGTGTGTGACTTTGTCGGCGAGATTCACTTGGTCATCGCCACAGAGTCGGGGTGCCAAGTACGTCTCCATGCATGTTGACCCATCTTGACGTCGAGGCATGCATGTAGATCTGGGATATCTTGGGTGAACACTTGCATTTCTCGTTGTCCCTCGCAAAGGAGCTCGCTGGGGACACAGGTCCTCTCTCCTTCTCGTCATCGATATATAACCTCCGTGGCGTAGACTTCCAAGCGCATTTCTGCCGCGGCATCGCGCACGACGACAGGAGCGTGTTCGTCGGTAGGCCTTCCCATTATCCTCGAATCATTTTCATCATCATGCTTAGGGTCGTCGGCGTCGAAACTGTTCTCGCTCACCCTTGAACCAGGTCAAAGCAAGGGCCAGAGCGAGTTTGCACTCCACACAACGTCCACCATCGGGGTGCACTCGGAGCCGCTGCATGCGCTGAGCACTCCGCCGGACGAAGCGCGGGCGTCCGTCTTGGTCAGCGGCGACGACGACGGCGTCGTCGCTGTCTGGTCACTCGACTCGTCCGGGTCACCCGAGATCAAGCACAAGCTCAAGCCCACGGGGTTTCCAGTGACTTGCATCCAAGCCGTGAGCTCAACGTGGGCCGTGGCGGGCGATGTCACTGGGAAGCTGCGGCTAATTCATCTTGAGGACGGGTACGTGGCCGCGGACGTCGGCGCCCACTCGCGCACTTTGAGTGCGCTGGCGGTGCAAGATCATTCCCACGTGGCGTCGGTGGGCGAAGACGGGTATGTCATACTGACATATCATTCTGAGTCTGAGTCTGAGTCTAGGTACTTGCACGTGTGGAAGTTGACGGAGCGCCACGACCGCCTCAAGATCTCCCTTGCCCATTCGCATCGTGTCGGGGACGACTTGCTCACTGGCGTCGCGTTTGCCGCCAACTCGCTCATCACAGCGTCGTACGATCTGAATCATCTCAAGGTGTGGAAGGCCGTGGCTTAGCAACGACAGCTCCGAAATATGTACCCGATGAAAAGGACTAGTTAACTAGGTAGTACTGTATGCCTTCCATTATTGTAGGGGGTACTAGTATTAACTTGATTAACTACACCGAAGTACTAGTAAGTACTACTTACTACGAAGAACTACAGTATTTACTACAGCTGTACTAGTACTACTGCTGTACTAGTACTACTGCTGTACTAGTATGTACTACTAGTATACTGGTAGAAGCATTACTACTACAGGGGGGTGATAGACATTTGAACCACGTGCTATTATTAACGATCCTCGTACGATTGGCTATCTGGATGCGGCAATATCCAATCAAAACGCCTCACTGAATGGCGTGGAATTGTCATTTTCGAACTGCACCAAGTTACGATATGGTGCAGGTAGAGGTGATCGTGGGCGCGTGCGCAGCCGTCGTCGGCATCGTGTCTTTCCTCGTCATATCTATCCCCACACCCCGCGTCTCTTGCGACATCGCATGCTCGTGTGGTCATATCCAGGGCAAAGTCTTGGCTGCGTCGACCTTGCACTGTATCTGCTACTGCGATGACTGCCAGGAGTCCAAGCTGCACGACAAGTTTCCGAACGCTCCGTCCCACGTGAATGAGAACGGAGGCACCCACGTCATTCTACTGTTCCCGTCGGACGTTCGTATCACGGCCGGTCAGGACAAGCTGGTCCAGGCCAAGTTGAAGGAACACACGACAACCTGCCGCGTGTACGCGTCATGCTGCGGCACTCCCATATTCAACGCCACGACGAAAAACCTTCCAGTTCCGACAGACTTGTCAGGGATCGCAGTCCACCTCGCAGCGATCCCTGACAAGTCTGTCGGAACTGCACAATTCCACGTTTGGACAAAGTTGCGGCGCCACGACCTTGCCGCCGACCCTCAACCTCAAGATTCTGTTCCGCCTCCTCCTCAATCGAACCAAGAAGCTTCCGCACCCCGTGGACGTCCGTCAGCCAGCGGCAGTGTTGTAACGACGACTTCCGATTCGCTGGGGATCCGCCGAGGCAAATATGAAGAACTCGACGAAATACATTTGGTTTTGTACAAGGAGTTAAATATCGCATGTTGCTTTTGACGAAACAAATCTATTTTTCGATCCGTTCTTTTTTCTCCCTTCTATACATATATAGAAACTACCAGTACATGGACAAAACAATTCTGAAGAAAAAAACATTTTCAATCAATTCTTTTTTCTCCCTTATAGATAAACGCGTTTAAACGGTCGGCCCAAACTTGGAGTAATCGGTGTGGTCCTTGGAAATGTACTTTTCGAAATTCTTCTTGAACATGCCAGCAAGCTTGGTCGCGGTCTTGTCGAACGCGGCCTTGTCGGCCCAGGCATCGCGGGGGCTCAAGATGGACGGCGAGATGTTGCCCAACTTGGTGGGCACGGCGAGGCCGAAGATCGGGTCCACCTTGAACTTGGACTTCTTGATCGACCCGTCGAGGATGGCGTCGATGCATGCGCGCGTGTCCTTGATGGACATGCGCTTACCCACACCGTATCCTCCACCAGACCAACCCGTGTTGACCAGGTACACGTTCGACTTGTGCTTTTGGATCTTCTCTTGGAGCAGGTCCGCATACTTGGTAGGGTGGAGCGGCAAGAAGGCCGCGCCAAAGCATGCCGAAAACGTCGCCGTGGGCTCGGTCACCCCACGCTCAGTGCCGGCCACCTTTGCCGTGTACCCCGACAGGAAATGGTACATGGCTTGTCCGTCGTTGAGCTTGGACACGGGCGGGAGCACGCCGTACGCGTCGCACGTCAAGAACACAATGTTACTTGGGTGCCCCCCCGACGAATTGGGTTCATGGTTGTCAATGTGGTAGATGGGATATGACACGCGCCCGTTCTCGGTCTTGGTCGTGTTGTAGTAGTCGGGTTCGTTGGTCTTGGGGTCGACATGCACGTTTTCGAGCATTGCGTCGCGCTTGATGGCGCGGTAGATGTCGGGCTCGTTCTCTTCCGACAGGTTGATGGTCTTGGCGTAGCATCCGCCTTCAAAGTTGAAGATGCCTTCGTCGTCCCATCCGTGCTCGTCGTCGCCGATGAGGTAGCGGTGGGGGTCGGCGCTCAAAGTCGTCTTGCCCGTGCCGCTCAAGCCAAAGAAGAGCGCCGTGTCGCCGTCCTTGCCCTTGTTGGCCGAACAATGCATGGCCATGATCTTTTCCAGCGGAAGCCAGTAGTTCATCATGGAGAAGATACCCTTCTTCATCTCGCCGCCGTACCAAGTGCCGCCGATGATCGCCACGCGCTTCTCAATGTTGAAGCCGACAAACACTTCCGAGTTGAGCCCGTGCTTCTTGTAGTCGGCGTCCGTGACCTTGCACGCGTTGATGATGGTAAAGTCGGGCTGGAAGTTCTCCACTTCTTCCTTCGTTTGCGCGCGGATAAACATGTTGGTCACAAAGTGGTGTTGCCACGCCAACTCGGTGATGATACGCACGCGCTTGCGAGAGTTCTTGTTGGCCCCGCAGTACCCGTCGAACACGTACACCTTTTCCGCGGCGTTGTAGTGCTCTGTCACGGTCGTGTGCAGTTCGTCAAACACTTCGGGCTTCATAGGCTGGTTGATCGAGCCCCACCAAATGTTCTTCTTCGAGGGTTCTTGCTCCACAAAGTACTTGTCCTTGGGCGAGCGGCCGGTGAACTTGCCCGTGTCGACCGTAAACGTGCCGTTGGCAACAAAGTGGCCCTCGTTGTTCTTCAACTCGTGGTCAGCCAACTCGGCGTAGCTCAAGTTGCGGTAGATGGTAGCGTTGGTCTTGATGCCGACCTTCTCCAAGTCCTTGAACGTGGACATGGCGCGGGCCCATGTTCCAGTGTAGGCGGTCTTCGCGGCGGTGCGGCGGAGGATCGAGATCATCTTGAGGCTGAGACGCAAATTGAATTGTGGGCAGTAGTGAAAGATATGACTGGCGTGGTAATACTGTATATAATTATTTGTAGGGCCATACGATTACTGTCAAAACGTATACTGTATAATGTATTACAGTATCCTCATTGTGATTCGTGAGAATCGAGCGACGACGCCGCGTCACTGCTATGTTCTCTGTTTTTCAACCAATCACAGCGACGACGCACATCCACCACAAAAAACAGGCAAACCTTATTTAGGGTATTTGCGGTATAAATGCGATGACAAAGCAGCATAAATTGGTAAACCACGTCCCGCGACTACGCCAACCGGTCGTCCCTCCAGCTCATGAAATACATGTTATGCTTGTTGTGTATACTTAGATGTATACAACAACCAAGTCAAGCGCTTGATTCGTTACGCAAATCACTCGAAGTGGCGTGCCGAGTCAACCGCACCCCCACCCACCCCCAACTTCAACTTGGGGAATTCCCTAGGGTATTTCGACGGAAATCCCTCGACAACTCAAATTTATACAACCTGTTTCTATGGTGGGTGTTTGTGGTATCCCTAAACAAGGCCCAGCGAATGGATTTAAGGGATTCTAAAAAGCCCTAAATAAACCTCCATGGTGGAGATTCGCTCGGATCCTCGGGCTTTGATTGGATAACATCGTTTCGTGTCGACCAATCACAATGGAGTAGAAAATATTTTTGAAGGCGCCACCGCCATGAAGCAAGTCGTGGGCATCATCCCTGCCCGCTTGAAGTCCACTCGGTTTCCTGCCAAGCCCCTCGCACTGCTATGCGGCCGACCGATGATCCAGCACACGTATGAAGCTGCATGCAGGGCCACGTCCTTGGATCAGGTGTACGTGGCCACGGACTCGGACGCGATCGTAGCCGCCGTGAACCAGCCATCGAGCACGCTGCTGACCAGCGAGGCGTGTGAGAACGGCACAGACCGCGTCCTGGACGCATTACGACAGCTGGGCGATGCCGTCGCTTCCTCGTACGAGATCGTGGTCAACATTCAAGGCGACGAGCCGTTGGTGGACCCATCGCACATCGACCTGTGCGTAGCTGCCCTCCAGAACGACCCGTCTTGCGTCATGAGCACATTGATGGCGCCAATCCTCGACGAGTCCGAAGCGCGTAGTCCCCACATCGTCAAATGCGTGACAGATCGCCACAGGTACATTCTTCAAGTCCATTGCAAACTCGTATCTTATGTGTCCGTAGCAATGCATTGTACTTTTCGCGATCCATGATTCCTAGCTCCAAAGACAACACGTTTGTACCGAATCGAATCATGAAGCACATTGGGCTATATGCTTTCCGCCGCTCGTTCCTTGTAGACGTGTTCCCGCACTTGGAGCCTTTCAACTCGTCGGAAGACCTGGAGCAGCTCCGCGTGCTAGAAGGCGGGTACAAAATCAAGATGGTCACGGTGCCATTTGCCTATCCAGGGGTCGATTTACCGTCAGATATTGCCAAACTCGAGAAGTTTATGACTCGATAAATAATGCCACCGACTCCGCACTCTCTATGCGAGTTACTAGTATATAGGCAAGGCAGGATAAGTCTAGTCTTAAAACCAAGTAGGGCTGGTGTTATGGGGACTTATAAGCATGAGTATGTAAAAAAGTATTGTACTCCTGTAAAAAAGCAATCGTACATCTTTCTCCTTGTGTATCGTATATACTGTATGTATACGTACAGATATGTAATACTACAGTAGTAACGCCATTGATTACATCGACAGCTTATGACGTTATCTTCGTCGACGACAGAAGAAGACTAAACTATTACTAGTAATTATGTTCACGTGTGTCGTTTACAGTACAGTTAATTGTTAAAATAATATTCTGTTGGGTATCTACATGTTCAAGCACGGAAGAGGCGTGAGGTTGTTGAGACTGTTCATGCCTTCCAATGCTTGGAGCAGGGGGGTATTGACATGCACCCAGTCGAGAGTCAGCAGACCTTCCATAAAGTACCCCTTGGTGCCAGATGCGCTGTACTCGTAGCCGCTCTCAGGGTTCAACGACCACACGTACCCGCCAGCATACCCCGGCTGGGAAGCCACCATTTTGATGACGTTTTGCGTCACGCGCTGGTTGGTTTTGTTCACGTGGGTGTCTTGGGTGAACAGCCCGCCAAACTCGCCCAGTACCAACGCTCCATCTTGCGTGGACCGGAGGTACCCAAACATGTCTTCGGACGAGTCGGCTACGATTTGCTCCAGCGTCGCATCGTCCCATTCCCTGTAGCCAGTCAAGATATCTCCCTCGCGCTTTCCGCCTTGCACGAGGTAGGCTTGAGGGTACACTGACGGCGAGTAGTAGTGCGGCGCGTACACAACCTTGTGGGCGGTGTTCAAAGTCAATGGGTTGGTTCCTATGTATTGGAAGGTGTCGGTTACACATGAAACGATACCAAACAGACGTTAACGGTACCAATTTCACGCATGCCGCCGCCCCACCAATCCATGAACCACGTCTGTTGACCTCCATACATTCCGCTTTGGATTTTGGCCGAGTTGCCTTCAACAAATGCAAGCCAATTCGAGCAGTTTCGCAACATTTGATTGGCCAGGGTGGTCGCGCCTCGTCGGAAATCGTTTGGCCCGTTGTCGCCCCACGTCACTTCCGTGGGTTCGTTTTTCAAGTCCAGGCCAAGGATGTTCCAGTATTTGTCGTGGCAAAACGTTGCTGCGAGCGTTTCCACGGCGCGCAACGTGTCGGCTTCTGTGACAGAGTTGCTAAACCACGAAGCGCCTCGATCCGAAGGGCTCAAGTTGTGCAGGTCCAGTAGCACCGAGATGCCATGATGGCCCAGCCCCTGGACGAGGGTGCCAATAGCGCTCGTGTAGTTGGTCAGGTCCAGCGCAGCGTTGGCGTATTCATGGACCATGCCTCGGTTAGGAGCTGTGTTATTCAAGATGGACGATACTGTGAGCGGTAGCCGGACGCTGTTGAACTGGTTGCGACTTAGGAACGACGCGAGCTCGAACAACGTTGTGCCGTTCTGGTCGTTGGTCCACAAGCCAAATGGAATGGCGTTCTCCGTCTCCATACCAAACCAGTTGATCCCTTTGATCGCAATCGGAATCTCTTGGTTGGTGTTGGTGACGATGTACATTTTTCCGTTCTTTGAGACGTAATTGGGGAGGTAACAGCCTTGATCAGCATATGCAGTCGGGTTCGAGTCTTGGTCCACTGGACGAATCACTCCGTCTCGAATCATTCCCATCGTGTAGTTGATGGTATCCCGTGGTGTAGTTGTAGGGGTGATGGGGGTAGTTGGAGCCAACGTTGTTGTCATCGAAATGGTTTGGGCGGTTAGTGGTGTTTCCGTGGTCGGAATTGGGGGGTTGGCTGTCGTTGTAGTGACAATGGATGTAGTGGTAGTGGAAATGGGTGCAGGTGTAGTGGCAATGGGTGCAGGCGTAGTGGCAATGGATTCAGGCGTAGTGACAATAGGCGTAGTGGCAATAGGCGTAGTGGCATTGGCTATGGCTACGGGGCCAGCTGTAGTCGTAGTGACAATCGGTTTAGCTGTAGTGATAGCGGCACTGGGGGCAGTCGTAGTAGTGGTGGTAGTGGCAACGGGCTCAAGTGGAGTGGTAGTGACAACTGGTTTGGCTGTAGTCGTGGTGGTTGTAAACTGCCTGGCTGTAGTAGTTGGCCGACCAGTCGTAGTGACGACTACAGCGCCGGAAGCAGTACTACTGCCAGCTTGTTCAGACCCTTGTTCTTGGGGACTGGTTTGCACAACCAAGGGTTTCACGCCTTGCCAAATTCCCACGGCACCGCCTGCCATCGCCACGGCCAGCCCACATCCAAGAAGAATGATTTTGTTGCGATCCAGTCGACAAAAGTGCTATCCTCAAATAGTAAATACACAAGGGAACTCAAATCTCAATGTACCGTGGATGGGGGTTCTGATTTGGGTGCAGCTACAGTTGCTGGGGCTGCTACTGCTACAATATTTGAGACTGTGGTGGTGGCTATGTCTGGCTGGGGTGTAGGGGGTGGTGCTGATGCGTCCATGTTAGGTGGTCGGGATGCTGCAGCCTTAGAGCTAGCAACCACGGAAAGCAAAATTGAAGAGTGAGTGTCGGCGTGGGTTGAAGTTGAGTATCAAACGGCATACTTGTGGTCGAACGTTTTGCATTGTGATTTGTTCGAATAGTAGTGTGCACATGAGAAATGTAGGATATACGGTGCTTGGGGTATGGAAATCGCAAGCATTCTGGTGCCGTTGGCAGGGCAGGTTGGCACGAAACGCGCGACTTCGGATCTTTTTGATGATGCCCAGATAAGGATCTAACACCTAACACCAACACATAGTAAAATATACAGGCACCACGAACGTTACCCTTGATTCTAAATATCAGTCATTGTGTGTTAACACCACTGAACGTTACGTACAAAGAACTCACGAATTCTCCGCATAGCCCAAGGCCAATCTTTCCTCGGATGCTTGTGCTTCATCTGTGTGACTGGCATGGTTAGTCGAAGTGAGCACGTCATCACAAGTTATCCCCACTTCACAGTCAACAAAGATACTGATTTGATTGGCAGTTACAAATGTGGGCGGTTACGTATCATATATAAGTGTATTAAGATAATCCCACATGCGTATATTATTAGTACTACTATTGATATTAGAGTGGACGTCCACCACTGGTCAAACACCGGGTGAAATATATTGACGAAAATTGAAATTAACTATAAACGATGGTTGATTGAATTATACCGGTGGATTGGTGAAATATACTTAACGGTTCCACCGTAAAAGTTATGGGAGAAACCATTCTTGCATTCCTTCCGCCCAAACCGACAGTACGTGAAGTGTGAGGTCGCCGCGAAATTAAATGGAGGTACTGTAGCTAAAATATATCGGTGGTAAGGTAAGCGAAATTACTTTTAAAAATCTGAAATTAACAACAAAAAGGTGTCGCATCCTAATTTAGAGATGATGATATATATTATTAATAGTATCCAAACAATCCAGAGTACTCAAACCTCCGAGATGAAAGCAGCCACGGACCAAAGCTAACGAGTGGCGCCAAGTTCTGGCGAAACTGAACGGAAGCTCGGCGTGCGGCCAGTCCCCAAAAGTTTCGAAAAGGCACGTGCGACTCACTCCGAGCCGTCGCGGGTGAATTGTTTAAGTGTGTCCCCACCACGTTGGGCCTCCCCCCAACCTTGGGGGGGGCTAGAAGGGGCCATCCTCCTGTCCACGCCAACGATTTGGACCTATTGACATCATCTGAGGGCCCTCAACGGTTGTCCCAGTATCTGCTCCCTCGACAATTGACCGTCAACTGGATAACCTTCTATACGCCCAAGTGGACTGGATGATCGAGCACTATGAAGCTTCTGCAACGACATCTCCCCAATTGTGTCGCACGATTGCTATCCCTTCGACAACGCTGGAGTCACATCCGTCGATTAAGCAAGTCACGAGTGACATGCACGTCGTGCATTTGCCTCAGTGGAACACATATCACTTGACCACGTCCCTCAAACTCGTGGTGACAGGCCATGTCAATCGACTTTGCAAAATGCTGCAACCGATGAGTTTATTCCTTACCATGGGATCGTCGTACCAGAAGCAGCCACTGAAAAGTTTGACAGCCGCGGGCTGTGATTTATGAATGAAACATTTGAAGGTCTATTATTGAAATACTACATCGTGCAGCAGTCAGACTGGCAGATAGTAATCGTTTTCCTACCTGCTGCTATATGTACCCTCTTTCACATTGGATCATCAACTATTGGCCCCAGAATATTACTGTTATGCTCCAGCATTTTACCTTCCCCGCAGATCTACAGTGTGCCTTTAGACACAAGTTGGCGTGGAAAGCCAACACCCACTTCACCCCGAAACGTGTCGTGACGGCCCGCCCATTAGCAGTGGTGAATGGCCCCGTGGCTGCGAGACGCTTCCCAATGTTCAACGTAGTTGCCGTGTCGGCACTGTGCACATGTACGCTTGGAGCCCAAGTTTCAATACCCCTTCCAAGGCCCGTCCTCGTGTGCTGAATGCCGTCGGCCGATTCGGCGCGAGACAGCCAGCCCGAATGATGCTCTAACCTGTGTCAACACTTGCATTTAATATGTATTCACTACGCATGCCCTACAGTACTGATTATTCTTTGGTTGAGATGAAGCAAGCACGAGTGTTCAATTGTGTCAAAGCGGACTGAATCCATTTTTTCTGGGGGGACCCACCAGCACTTGAGCGCGTGGCCATTATTTAGTGGCGTATACTACAACCTGTTTAAACCGAGAACAAACCTGGGTTGCTCGTGCTGTACCCCCCTCGCTCAGTCAACTGGCTCACGAACTTGCTGAACAACTAAATCGACTCGCTGATCGCGTACGTACTGCGAAGCGCCACCTCCGAGCCCGATCGACCTGACAGCATATGATGTGTATTACTGTACTAGTATTAATTATGATCATGTGTGTCGTTTAATAGTTAATAGTAAAATAATATTCTGTTGGGTAGCTACATTTTCAAGCACGGAAAAGGCGTGAGGTTGTTGAGACTGTTCATGCCTTCCAATGCTTTGAGCAGGGGGGTATTGACATGCACCCAGTCGAGAGTCAGCAGACCTTCCATAAAGTACCCCTTGGTGCCAGATGCGCTGTACTCGTAGCCGC